AGTATATAAAAAGAATACGCACTTATTAAAGTACCCTTTGGCCACATTATGACAATGAAGTATGTACATATGTCCATACATATGTATGGACAAAAAACGCCATAATATATTTTCAATTTTACCTTCACGTGTATACAGTACTGTTTGATTACTGATCCCTTAAAAATACAAACAAACTCTCAAAAAATACTCAAAATAATTGGTCTTATCCGTCCATTCACTAACATGCACTACAACCCTTGGTTGGTTGACGAATGATGGTATTCATATCCAACAAAATTGTAAAAGGAATGGAAACGAAACCACCTTATAATACTACAGCTTACTTATGAAGCGGTATCGTAGATACGGACAATGGAAAAAACACCTGGAAGTAAAAAAAAACATTGCTTGTGTCATTGTTGTTGTCCGACTTGTACAGACATTCTTCATTCATTCATCTGTTCGGTCGTCGGCCATTGTTAAAAAAAAAACACAAACAAAAAAACATCTACCTTTGCGGTGTGTCTATATGTATTATAGATGGGTGTGTACTAACATATTCGTCAAACATGAGGATAGACTTGCATGTCATAGATTAGAATTTCCTAAGATTACCCATGTGGACATGCAAAATTGTATGTAGACTTTTAAGAATGATAGCTTCAGATAGAAGATGAAATGTCTTAGGAAGCATTAGCTTATAAGCAGCGTTGTGGGATTTACTTTTTGGGACATATAAGAACATATTAATGTAAATTCGGAAAGTTTTAGATTTTATACATTAGGCAGATTTTTTCGTGAATATTTCAAATCAAAATTTCTTATACAATGTCAAGAGGTTAAATATTCTGATATTTTTTTTTAAAAAAAGGCAAAATATTTGACATTTTTATCATCCATAGATCGGACACCAAAAACTTAGTCCCTGGTCTATCTTAACCAACCAGTAAAAGCTTTACGTAAACAAAGAAAAACCAGACAGTTGAAATTGCTATTTGTTGTGAATAAAAATCTGAGAATATTTATATCTTTGGTTTTTTCTCCAAATAGCTGCATAATTATTTCCTTGAAACTATGAATGGACCTCTGAAACGGTGTTGGATTGCGTGTCTGTCCAGTACGTCCAGACTATGTATTCCACTTTTTTTGGAGAAGTTCGTGTTCAGTCTAGCAGTAAATTAAAAGAAAATGCGGCAACGAATATAATTTGAAAACACGAACAGGGAAAAACTTCTATACCCTTCATAATTGGTAACAGTATATTTGTTGGTAGTGAAAAAAAAAAAAACAGAATGAACCAACAAGAAAAAATACTGGCGTGTTTCCGTGGACTTTTTATTTCTTTTGATTTTTTTCTGATATTATTTCCTATGATCTTTTGAAACACGTCATTTTGTTTTGAGGCATCTTGAAAACACACACAAAAAACAACAACATAAAATATGGAGAAATATACATAAAATATTCAAAAAAAAAACTCCAAAGAAATCCAAAACGCCCGATAAAGAATACACCAAATATGGAAGCAGAAATTGTGAATGAAAAAAGAAGAAAAGTTTCAGGTAGAAAAAATGTTATCTTAATCGTCCATGCCCCCCTTAGGCAAACAACAAAAAAAAAAAACGCGAGGCAAAAAACATAGGCCACAATTATAGTGGCAACAATAATAAATATTGGCTTTATTGCCGAAAGGAAATGAATTTTAAAATGGTCTACAAAAGACAAACCCCAAAAAGAAATGAACGTTTTTTTTTTCGTTATGGACATTGAAAAATATTGTTTAACCCATTGTGAACCGCGGTCCTCATTTAGTGAACGAATTTTTGATATTGCCCTTTTGCTGTCGTATACATACCCCCATCCTATAAATGTCTAGTCAATCTTCAGTTCCATATATTGACAAATTTCTTAAAAATAATTATAACAAATAAAAAAAAGTATCGGTCGGTTTTGCCGACAGATATATACCCTCAGCCAATGTTCGATTATTTAAAAATATGTTTTAAAAAAAAATCAAACATTTATATCCAATTTATGGGAAATCATAAATTCCATCTCATGTTTCTTGTTGAAAGACATATATTTAGATAAAGCAAGTTGTAAAGAATCGCTGAGTTGTTTCGCAATTTTTGACAGATAAATGTAATGAAAATTTTGACCCTTTGTGGGTGAGGTACCAGAAGGTGTTCGCAGACAACAGATTTTGTGTTAGCAAAAATGTTGGTTTCTGTGAAATTTAAAGAGAGTTGGATGCCTATTTCGCATTCTTGTGGGGCAAGTACCAAAAATTGGTCCGATCTCTACCATCTTTATAACAGATCTTGTGTTGATGGAAATATTGAGATGTACCAAGTCTCGTATGCAATCGGACGTTGATTTCGCTTTTTATGAGTTTCATGGATATTCAAAATTTTGAGCCTTTGTAGGGGAGGTACCAAATGGAGAGAATCGATATATCCCATCTTCACAACACATCTAGTGTTAACAAAAATGTTTGTATATATGAAACATAACGAGAACCTGATGCTTATTTCGGATTTTATAAACTTTTTGGTTATTCAAAACTTTCACCCTTTGTGGGGGAGGTACCAGAAGAAATGGTCCGATCTCTACCGTGTTTATAAGAGATCCTGTGTTGATAGTAATATTGAGATGTGCCAAGTCTAAATGGGATCGGATGTTAATTTCGCGTTTTATGAGCTTAAAAATTATTCAAAATTTCGACCTTTTGTGGGGGAGGTCCCAGTAGGAGTGAACCAATATACTACATCTTAACACTAGATCTAGGGACAATAAAATTATTGGAATGTGTGAAATTTGAAGACAATGGGACTCTTACATCACATTTTATAAGAGTTGTAATTATTCAAAATATTTACCCTTTGTGGGGGAGGTACTTGATAAAGTGACCGATATTGTCCATTTGTGCACCTGACCTAGAACTGACGCAAATATTAGGATTCGCAAAGTTGGGGCAAAATCGGATTATCGTTTCTCTTGTTGTGCAGAAAATATATTTTTTGAAAATTTCGACCTTTTACTAGAATATTGCCCATCTCCGAACTCGATCTAAGTTTGACAAAAATATTACGATGTACCAAGTTTGGACCAAATTGGGTACTGATATATACCCTCTCTAGCCATATGGCTGAGAATATAGAAAATTATATTTTTTTAATTTAATATTATTTTTTTTACGAAATAAAATTAAAACATTAATGCATATAATTGTAAAGGGTTTCCTAAATATTAACAATTTAAGATATAAAACTAATCATTCTAAAAATTTTTAAATTTTCAAGAATTATATTTCATTTTAGCAAAACTGAATTGTTATACCCTACAACACTATGTGTTGGGGGTATTATAAGTTTGATTGGGCCAGAATTTATGTAACACCTCGAAATATTGGTTTCCCATATAGGAAAGTATATATGGATCTTCCTAGCTCGCCGAGCTGAGTCGATCTAATTTGTAATCACGCTACAGGTCGCAATTATGGCCCGATCCTTACGAAATTTTGCACGAAGGTGGGGTTAGGGTCAGAATAGAACCCTATTTCTTTTGGAGATGATCGCCAAATGTTTAGGGGTTGAAATGGACCTATACAGGTCGCAATTATAGACCAATCGCCGCGAAATGTAGCTAGAGTTTAGGGCGGGGAAGAAACCTACCAATTTGGGTGATCATCGGATAATATTTAGCGGGTAAAATATACCATATCTTTTGTGTTCAAAATTTTTTATTAAACCGCGAATATTTTAAATCCCGGCGAAATCACAAAGTCATGACAAGGTTACTTCTGACATTTACATTGATGTTAACATCCAACAAAACGGATATATAGCAAAATATGTGCGATATATATGTTTATCAAAGAAGATATGCTTGAAAAATATCTTATATGTCGAGAACGGCTGAACTGATTTCGACAGTTCTCATTAATTCAGAATGGCCTCTTGGCAGGAAAGAAAAAATGTCTAAAAAATCGCGTAAAATATCTCTCTAAAGATGAAAATATTGATTTTCTAACATTTTCTCATATTTTTTCAATTTTGTCATATTTTTGACATATTTTCATTTTGAATTAAACATTTGGTAACATTTCTACAGCTAACAAAACTAAGTAGTTAGGATATCAGGATATCATATAAAGATCGCATTTATGGCCCGATCCTTACGAAATTTAGCATGGGGATAAGATGAGGGTCAGAATAGAAGCCTACTCTTTTTGGAGATAATCGCCATATATTTAGGGGTTGAAATGGAACAAAAAGTGCAAAATTGTCAGCAGGTCGTAATTAACGTCCGATCCTCACGCACATTTGAATGGGGGTTACCGGACATTGCAAAAGCCAAGCAGTTTTGGATGGCCATCCAAAAATATTCAATGTGTGAATAGCTTGCCAACTTTTGTAGACAAAATACGAAAATGTCCATTCCAGTGGCTTTTTGGAGAATTCACAAACACAGGAAAGACGCACTTCTGACTATTTCATTAACGCTGATTTCGTTGAAGAATATAGTCAAAATGTCTGTATCTCATATAGATGCGTTTCAGTCAAAAACCAATAATAAATGTTAATCTTTTGCCACTTCTGATAGATTATAGGTCTTTGGGAAATATTGGTTCCAGATCTAGGGAGACCATTTACGTGCAACATCTACCAATAAATTGGAAATGAGCAAATTAGTTAAAGCTGCTATTATTCGAAAATTAGAAAACGAAACCTGATGGTTTTCTTTTATTATTTATCACAATATCTTGTGGAATTCTTTCGAGTATCTCGCCTATATAAACTGTATCGTTTATTATAGTGTTGTATGGTATTCAACGGTCGGCCCCGCTCGACTGTAGCCTTTGCTTACTTGTTTTCTATAGACTGTAATTTTCAAAAAAAATATCTCTTTCTTTAAACCAAAATATTTGCCACAACATAATGAATGCATTATTTCTTCTTTAAATTATTTGCCAATTAGTTATTAGTTACCAAAAAACAACCATTCCATGTACTTACTTATGGCATTATCAGCTGAAAAGAAAAAGAGAAACCAAAACAAAATTACATTAGAATATTTCTTCATAGATTTTGTGCATTTTGTGAAAATAAATGTATTAATTTTAAAGACGTCTTAAATAAATCTCATAAATTTTGCATGCTTAAATAACCAATAAAATAATGCTGTTGAAGCAGGAGAAATAAAGAAAAAACAGGCAGGTAGACAACGATTTACCGGTGTGAATGTCCTTCGCCTGCTATGCCATTTAAATATGAGACGCAGCTGTAACACCGTTAAAGAGGAAGCGAACCGCGGTGTTGAAATCTATAAATTTTTCGTGACTTTATTACAAACGACTTTTTGATACACAATTTGTGTGTATGTCTGCCGGTTGACATGTTAAAAGTCCATAAAAATATCTTATAAATATTCTTCGTGGGATTCTATTTTTTTTGTCTTATTCAGATGTCTTGCGATTTATGCGATTGTGATGGAAATTGTACCATAGGACAGTTTTTTTCTATTGAACGGTTACAGATTTAGTTTAGTAAAAATTGGTGTCTTGTTAGTAAAACTGAATAATCATTTTATTATATTCCTTGAAAAAAAATAAAATATTTTAAAGACCAGAAAAAATCATATTGGTTTGTAGAGAATATTAAACACGGTAATTGTCTTCAAACTATTTAGATTTCAGAAGATTTCAATAGTTTACTGTCTCAGTTATGGTGATTAGAAAATCTGTTTCATTTCGTTAAGAAAAATGTTGTATGAGAATATTAACAAGTTAAAAAGCAGTAAGTTCGGCCGGGCCGAACTTGTAATACCCTCTACCATTTGCAACGAATTTGGAAATTTTTAAAAAATAAAATCCTTAAAAAATTCTGTTAAAATTTTAAAAATACCGAATATAGCCGTTATATTGGGGTCTATACGACGTGGACATACATAGGCATTGTTTGTCATAAGCCATTACCATATTCAAATTCGAAACTTGAAATAAACGGTGAATAATGTAGCTAAAATCATCAAATCCTTATCCTTATATACGATATTATAAGGAGGTGCCGTTAAATTGGAGCTGTGCGAAGACCTGGACCAGTATAAACAATTTTCTGTCTCAGGCTGTAGCATCCATTACAAACTTCAAATACCACATCTCAAACAATTTCGATGGGTATTGTACCAAAAATCGTCAAAATACCGAATATAAGGAGGTACTGATATATGGGGCCTATACGAAGACCTAGACCCGCACAGACAATTTTCTGTCACAGACTGTAGTTCCAATAACGAACTTCAAATACTTCAAATATCAAATTTGAAACAATTCCCGTGAATAATGTCGCTAAAATCATCAAAATACCGAATATCGGGAGGTACCGTTATATGGGGGCTATACGAAGACGTGGACCTACACAGACAATTTTCCGTCTTAGGGTATAGTATCCATTTTGAACTTCAAATACCAAATTTGAAACAATTCCCGTAAATAATGTCGCTAAAATCATCAAAATACCTAATATAGGGAGGTACCGCTATATGGGGGCTATATGAAAACGTGGACCTACATGGCCCATTTACGAACTTAACCTGCCTACTGGAAAAATAAACATGTGTGCAAAATTTTAGCCATCTATCTCAATTCATTCGAAAGATAGCGTGATTACAACAGACAGACGGACAGACAGACGGACATGGCAAAATCGTCTTAGAATTTTACGCTGATCAAGAATATATATACTTTGTTGAGTCTGACATGAGTATTTCGAGGAGTTACAAACGGAATGACAAAGTTAATATACCCTCCATAGTATGGTAGAGGGTATAAAAAAAGTTTTACAACCGTTAAAATTATTATTTTTGACCTTATTTTCAAAGAGGATTACTGATATCGGATACGCCTTTTTATACCCTTCACCATAGTATGGAGGGTGTATAAAGTTCTTGATCAGCATAAAATTCTATTTCGATTTAGCGATGTCCGTCCGTCTATCCGTCTGTTCGTCTGTGGAAACTCTAGCTTCCGAACAAAATGAAGTAGGTTGATAAAATTTTACTCAAAAGTATATTATGTCTGCAGGACTTTTGGTAAGGGTTAATGGGCCATGTAGGTTCACGTTTTGGCATATCCCCCATATAACAGTACCTCCCGATATTCGGTATTTTGATGATATTCGCGACATTATTCACCGGAATTCTTTCCAATTTAGTATTTGAAATTGGTAATGGATACTACAGCCTATGAAAAATTGTCTGATAATTGTCTGTGCAAGTCCAGGTTTTGGTATATATAATAGTACCTCCCCATAATAATAGTGCCTCCCTATATTCGACATTTTGATGATGCAGGTCCACTTCGTCGTATATACCCTAAAAAAAACGGCTACATTCATACATATTAACAGAATTGGTAATGAATTTTATTTTACGATTTTTAAACTCTATTTTTTTATAAATATATCGCGACAGCAACTTTAATTTCTAGACCAATTACTAGCAAAATACATAAATCGTGCCTAGGGATCTTTCGGAAATAATCGAAGATCCCTGCAAAAATAAATTTATCCTATACTTTATGCCAAAATATATCTAATAATATGTTTCAAATAATATTCCAAAATACAAAGAACTTTTTCCTTTTTCAACATTTTAGTTTTGTTGCAGAAAATCATCATCATTTTCTAGGGGTTGTCTAGATTTTGTGCTTTTTTTATTTATTTTTGGAGCTTAATATCCTCAGTATTCCTTAAATTTGGTATTTGGAGTTCCTAAAAGGTTCCACCTTATCTGGCATATTTGGCATATATCAATAATTTTATTCATTTCATAAGAGACATTTTATAATTTTTGAATAATGCTAAAATTTGCGTGATGTACCAGATATAGTGGAGCAAAGTATACCACTTCTCTAATTGGTTATTCAAAATATTGACCCCTTTGTGGGGAAGTTACTAGAAGGATTTGTCCGATACATTACATCTTTACACCTGATCTTGTGCTTATGGAAATATTGGGATATTTCGAGTTCCAAAGTAATCGAATGCTCGTTCGCGTTTTTTCCTGACCCTGTTGTAGGGGAGGTACCAGACGGAAGGTTCCCTTCTATCCGTTTGTTATACCAGATCTTGTGTTGGAAGAAATATTAAGATGTATAAATATAAAATAGTTATAATTACCAGACGGTTATATAGTTATAATTACCCCAAATTTTGACCTTTGTGGAAGAGGTACTTTTTGGAGTGGTTGCATATTGGATTTGCGAAATTTACAAAAAATTGGATGATTTTTTATTATTAAATGAAGTAAATTATTTTCTTTTTTCTAACTTTTTGTTGGGAAGGTACTAGAAGGAGTGGGACGATATTGCCCATCTCCTTACTCGACCAAAGTTTGATAATAATATTACAATGTACCAAGTTGGGATAAAATGGGATAATCTCTTCGAGAGTTATCGTGCAAACCAGCCAGACAGACAGGCCAACGGACACCCCTAGATCCACCCCAAATATCCTGAAAAGGATTTGGTTTAATGAGACCTAGGGTTTCACCATCTGCAGCCATATGACTGAGGGTGTAAAAATGTAACTTCAAATTGTGAAGGGTATTAAAGGATCATCATGGGCAACTGAGAACATATAGCTTGCTCCAATTAGAGTGATGCAATGCTTGAGGACTTTTTCTGGGAATTTGAGACGAACATAACCATTTATTAAGAACATATAGCTTGCTCCAATTAGAGTGATGCAATGCTTGAGGACTTTTTCTGGGAATTTGAGAATAAAACCACTCCACTACCATAAGCCCTGATCGTCTCTGTGGAAATGTTTGACCAAAAATTTAAAAAAAAAAAAAATAACTTTTTGTCATATTTCCGAAATTTGTTGTGGGAATCTAAGTTTGAGCATAGGTTCACTTTTGCTGGAACCTAAAACCCAAAAAAACGCACATCTTTCCTCTACTTTTCGACTTATTAAGCCTTATTTTTGTTATAACATAAAATAATCAATAAGTTAGTTCGTTTTTAAGTATTTATTCTTCTAAAATTTAAAATGTAACATTTGCAAAACATGCAATATTTCTAACAAATGGCTTATGGACCCACAAATAACATTCCAACAAAATCTTAATTTAGGGATTTATCGTTATAGACCTGAATGTGTGAAGATATATGTAGTTGTAATTTTGGAAATTCTGAAATTCATGCTTTAAACATTGGGTATGGTCCTTACAACTTTTGGGACGTATATATTTAAAGAGTCTAAATATGCACTGATATATCCAGAATAAGTTAGTAAAAATCCCCTTACAATTCAATCCGTTTTGTCAAACATATCCATAGAACCGGGTTTTATACAACTCTAAGGAAATGCATAAATAACAAAGCAAAAAAAGAAAGAATTCTATATCCTCCCATTCAAGTGAATAAATTCTAAAATATATTTTCCCATTGCCAAAGAAAAAGACAACACACAACGATCACACCTTTATAGAATTCGATTACAAAGAAAATATTTACGCACCCACCCTCCAACGCTATTGCCACGGCTGGCAATCGAAGGCACTACACAAATTCTACCTTTTTAAAAAGTCAACAGAAGAAAAAAACTTACAAAGCGGAAGCCATGGCAAACGGCTCATGTTATTTAAGTTTCCTGTCATTTCAAGCGCCAGCATCCTTAACGGATATAAACGGCATAACTTGCAAACCAACCGCATGCCGGGTTCTTGCATTACACATTGACTGGTTGGTTGGTGGAGAAGTGTGTCTTTGGTTGCAAAACACCCATAAATTCTTGAAATTGTGTTAGAGATATGCAAAATACATTTTTCCTTTGCCGTCTTCGTTTACGCAACAAAAAAAAAGTTGAAAAAATATAAAGCATAGATAAAACTAAAGTTCAACTTTAAACAAATTACTGAGAAAAAGAACTGCTCTCAAGCCAGTGGCTTTTCTTCATGCCATTATTTGTTGGTTTAGATAAAACTTGAGTCTTTGAAAGTGCAATTATTAACCCTGAGAGTTTGTGGT